GAAAAAAAAATGATGATGTGAAGAGCAACTCATTTTATTTGATCAAACAAATCGATTCTATTAAAAGTAAACGATGTCAAATCGAATATGTATTCCATGCAACATCCACCATCACCACCACCACCACCACCACCATCAAAGAAAGAACGAGAAAAAATATATGATAACTGAAAAGAAAACAAAAAAAAGAAAAAAGAGGAAAAAGAGTATCTCAATAGAACTGAACATGCAGATTTTTTTTTTTTTAGTGAGAGAATAGAGCTTGTTTAGACTCTATTTGCTAATTAATAAAAAATAAATGAAGTAAATTAAAAAGAAGTTTTCTCTTTCTTATTCTTTGTGTAAGCACTATCCGCCTTCTTTGTGTTTCCTAGTTATCAACGTTGTTAATCATTGATCAAAATGTATTTTCTAAGAATTTTAGAGTAGTAAACTGTCGACAATGTTTGAAGAAACGATTTCTTTTTTTTTCTTCTTCTTTTTTTTATTCGGTTAGAATTAAAAATTCAATTCATTTATTGATCAATTGTACTTTAATTTTAAAATCTTTCATGGTTGGACGATGATGTTGTGTAGAATCGGAATTGAAATCGATTTGAAAAAAAACAGTTACATTTTCTTCTTTTCTTTTGTTTTTTTGAATGATAACCAATATTTCGTTCTTGCTCTGATTTAGTGCAAAAGAGCATGACTTGTTTAAAACTGAACAAATGAAATGTCGTAGAAGAAAAATGGATAAAAAGAGCGTAACATTTAAGATTCGTGTACAAACTATAGCTCATTTAATTAGATCAACTCAAAGTTAATATTAAAATATTTATGTTCTTTACTTCTTACTTCAAATAATAATAGAAACTATAATAGTGAAAATAAGAGATACGAACTGATCTTAGTCAAGATCTCAAGAACATCTGTTTATTACACAATATAGCCTATTTTAGTCTATTTGTAGCAATTGAAAAATAGATCATTAGAAAAATCAATATCGATCAAATAAAAACTGTAATTATAATATTCATTTTAGTTTTTAAATAAAAAATCTGAAGACTTGTCGTTAGCTATTGTCAAAAATTTCCCAAATGATTTTAATGAAAGTTCTGTTTTATATATATTTATATATGTGTATATATATCTAAATCTGATTTTCATGGAAAATACAGAAAAGAACATGAAAAAAAAAATGAAGAAGAAGAAAACCTGTAAAGGTATGAAGTGGTGATTTTGATCATTGAAAAAAATTGTAGACAGTTTTCTTTTTTTTTTAATTCCTTCGTCAATCACTGCTATATTGTGCAATGTTCATCATTCTTTTCCCTTTTGTTCTATAGTAATAATAATAATAACAGTAATTTTTCTTTGTTCATTTTCCTTCTCTGATCAGTTATACACACACAAGAAGAAGAAGAAGACGGAAGAAAAAATCTATGGTGTAAATTACTTAAATCTTTTCTTTTTTTCTTTTCGTATGTGATTGTTTATGAACATATATATATATATATATATATCTTTGTGCATTTAAAAATATAAAAAAAAAAGTTTCTCTTTCATTCAATAGATTTCTTTCGATTTTTTTTTTTTCATCATTCTTCTTTCTGCTTTTTCATGTAATTTTAATTGGGAAAAAAGAAAATTTTTCTGTATAGAATAACAATTTAGCATATTCCTTCTATACCTTTAAGTTATTGTTACTATTCGGAGGTGGCTCTTATCGCAAATTTGTTAGTAGAACAAACGATTTTCAAAAGATATTTTAATAATGGATATATAGAACATTTTCAAGGTAAATATCTTCTAACTATATTAGTTTAATACGAGAAACTTGTTCATACTCTAATTCAGCTAATCACTAGCGATAATATGATACTATCTAAAAAAAAGAAAATAACTGATTCGAACTATTATTAGTTTAAAGATAGTTCTTAGAAGATAAAATTATTTTAAATATCAAAACTGTTCAAAAGATGTATGACTTTGGTGGATATTAACGGATCTATAAAGATGTTTTAACAAAAAACTATGATGAATGTTGATAGAGCTTTGATATTGAATAATATTCAAGTACAGCATATTTTCTAAAGATAATTGAACTTCTTTTTTTTTATAGAAAACATCATATCTCTTGATATTCGATATAAAATTTGTAATAATAATCTTTTGACTTAGTTAATTAAGAAAAAAACAATGAATACACAAATAAAAAATCATTCTATTTTCGAGGTTAAAGGATTATTTATTAGTTTACGTGTTATAATGTTTAGTTAGTTTATAGTAGAATTATTACACTCACCCTTATTATCAACTGATTAATTATTTTTTTTTCTCATTAATTAAGAATTGCTTTAGAATAACATCAACTTATAGTCTGTTTGTATACTGATGGTCAACTGAGTTTTTTTTTTTTTATTTTGTTTTTTGCTAAATGTGAGTGCATTCTTTTCAATTTCCATTGAGACATCGTATATGACAAAAGAAAACGGAAAAAATCTATCCATTTTAGTTCATAATACATTTTTTATTGTTTCCTTGTGTCAAGAAATTCGATTTACACGAAAAAAGAAGGAAAGGAAAGGAGAAAGTATTGCTGCTATGTACTACAGTCTAATCATCCTTCTACATTTATTTTTTGAACCAAAAAACAAAAAAATTTTCCATTTTTTATTTATGAATGAATGAATTTGAAAAGACTTTTCTCTAGATTTTTGTTTTTTTGTTAGGTTATTATTATTTTTCTAAACATTTCAATGAACTTGAGTCCAATGAGCTTGCTCACTTGTATCATACTATTCGATAATCTTCACAAATTAGTCTATCTCTTTACTGCTTTTTTTTCGAATAAAAAGGTGACATTGTTTGTTCATAGTGATTTTTTAGACGAAAGAGACAATTCAATAACAGATGATGTGTAATTTATCATAAATGTTTATCAGTTTAAAAAAGATCTTCATTTTCATAGATATAAATGTTTTCCAAAATTATGTTGTGAAGAATAATATAAAATATAGTACAACATTGAAGACTGTTATTGATCGTTTACATAAGAAAACTTGTGTAAATGACAAGATGCTTAATATTAATCTTACCAAAGTATTTATCAAGATAGTCAGAATGTATTTTGTATTTTTGATAATTTTTATCGAATTAAACATGAAAGAGAAAAAAAATGACGCGAGAAATCTTGTAGTAATTATAGTTTTGAGTCTTTATATCATACAAATATCTTAGATTTACTAACAAACATTTCGTTCTGTAAAGTGGAAGAAAATCAGTGGAATCTTCGTTATTCTAGTTACACAATAATGAATTGTATAAATAAATGTCTTTTTTAAGATTTAGTATTGTTAAATGAGATCAATATTTCGATCAATGTTCTTCTGCAGTAGATCATAGTGTTAAATACAAAAATAGTAAGAAAAATATTTTACAAAATTGAATCTTGCAAAAGAAGATAACTTGCTTTTCTTCTTTCTTACTATCCGTAGTAAAAGTGATAAGATCAGTTTGCAATAATTTATTAGATATAGTTTTGTCTTGTCTCTCTATAACTCTTATAATAAATCATTTTTGAATGCATACTATAGAATAAACAAACAATGAATGAAAACAATTTCACTTTTAATAAACAACCAAATTTTAGAGTAATTACAGATAAATCATAGACATTTGATTAATGAAAATTAAACTTAATTTCTTTTTTTTATTAGAATATTCGTTTCCTATCAGTGATGTACCTGTATCGTACACTCATTTCTGATTAAAATAGAAACTACATTTGTATGAGAATCATACACTGCAGTAAATTTTTCCAATTCGAGTACTTAATTAAGTTGGAATTTGAGCATTGATGCAAAGTAGAATCGTTTTCCTTTTCAGTCTTTCTCTCTCTCTCTCTCTCTCTCTCTCTCTCTTTTGCTTAAGAGCTTTTTTAACATATTTCTGATTCTTCTCTTCATATTATTATTTTTTAGGGGTGAAAGAAGGATGAAACGTTGGGGCGTCAGAATTTCATTTTTTTTTTATCATATCTACCACTATTACTCAGATATGAACTATGTCTTGATAATAGTATTGAAATGTTATTTTATTGGGAAAAAAAAAGAAAACATTTTTTTCATTCTTTCTTGTTTTCCATGTACTATCTGTATAATATCTATTGTTGCTTGTAAGTTTTTCTTTCATAACCTTCCTAACAAAAAAAAAATCCAATTGATGACGACAACGATCATTGATAGAAATCGATAATGAAGAGGAAATTGTACATTGAAAAACATAATATTTACTTTTAAGAGAAGATATCAAATTTCTATAGAGGAGATTGTGGCTTCTATCGTAAAATCTATCAGTTTTTGAAACTAGTAACATATTGAAAAAGATTTTTCAAGATTTTTCGAATCAAGATGATTCGTCTTGTTCCATTTTGATACCAACAACATTAAATTGTTAGAAATTAAAGAATGATTATTCAATCATATTTGTAAGAGAGAGTGAGAGAGAGATGAATCAGTTTTGAACAAGACTTTATGATGATAAAATCGATATTTTTTTTCAAAAATCAACAAAATTAAAAACATTTTGAAGAGCAAAAGGGTAAAAATGGAATAGCGTCTCTCAATGTTTTCAAAGTTGCTCTCATGAATTCTCAAATAGCTCATTGTACTTTGAAAGACGAAATCGAATGTCGAATTTGAGAAATAAAATTAATTTGTTTTCGAACTTTTGAATGTTCATATTTTTGTTCATTTTATTTGTTATCGTCCAATTATATATATATATATATATATATGTATATATTATTCTTGTTAAATATACGTAATAAATATTTTTTTCTCATTTATTCAGATTTGAAACCTTGTAAAACATTCGAATCATCGTCCACAACATGGTAACATTTAATCATTTATGAGCAAAAAAGTTTACGTTCATTATGTACATTATTAAAAAAATTGAAAGAAAAATTCTCACTACCAGACGATATTGTTCAATCGTTGGTGCTTCTTGAATCAATGGAGGTAAAATTTTTTCACGTATAGTAAAAAATAAAGAATTTCTTCATCTATCGTATCCCTACTATTTACACATACACAACATTATTGCAAATAAAAATGACTTTTTGTCAAAAAGGAACAAAGAGATAATTCCTCTAATAAAATAAATGATGATGATGTTGGTCAAAAAACGAAGAAAATATGAGAAGGTCAATTTTTCTTTTTTCATTTTGGAATTTTATCATATTCTGACCTTGCAGAGGATATGATGTAAGAGAAAATTTTATTCATTTTTTTTTTTGTTTTAAAGCGTTTGCTTAATGAACGTGAAACTGATACTTCAACATTGGCTATAACTGGACATTCAAGTATTCATCAAATTGATTCGACTCAGGTAAAGACATATACTATTTTAAATCGTCGAGCATTCATTAAATGAGCTTTGCACATCATCCGATGTTGTATGTTAATCATCTCATCTTCATTATTTATGCGAATAGCAAAACAAACACTAATATTACGATTAGAGATTTGTGATTCGAAAAAAATTTGTCAATCGTCAGCGTGGATTTTTGATTACTGAAACGTTCTCTTTTACACTAGACTGATAGATCTAGTAATAATTGTCATAAGATGATGTATATAACTTTTTGTGGAAGTCAACTTGATCAAAAATATTCTTACATAATTCAGATTGTGTCAATATATTGTTTCTTTTTGTACACTCTACAGCACATCAGCGCCTGTGTTTGTTGTACTTTTATATTAGAACTTCATATGAACCTAAAATTTTGAAAACAGCTTAGTTTGACGGATATATTTGTTCGAACCTTAGCGCACTCAAGTCGTGTAATAACTTCTGTATATCACCGATAGAAAAATAAAGTTCATTTAGAGTCGCGAAAAAGTGCTTTTTCGTATTCAGTACACTCAATAACCCAGAAGATTTTGTATTTTGGGCGAGCGGTAGGACCAAAAGTTTAAGAAAATTTTGAAACTAATATGCTTCTTCTATGGAAGTTTTTTCCGCCATTTTGTTTGAAAATTTTTCTTAAACTCTTGGCCCTACCGCTCGCCCAAAATACAAAATCTTCTGGGTTATTGAGTGTACTGAATACGAAAAAGTACTTTTCGCGACTCTAAATGAACTTTATTTTTTGCTTCACGTTGATATGATAGGTTACTGATATTCACTTGTCCTGGATCACTCCTCCGACTTCGTGCAATTATAGTTAGTTAAAAAGTAAAGAAAAACAATTAAAAATGAACTTTTCTTTCTATTGAAACGGCTAAAATGTCTAAACAGTTTAGCAAATCGTGTCAAGTATCGTGGTTTGAAATTTTTTTAGTCCAAACCAGTTGATACAAAATTCAGTTCAGTGGTTTAGTATGTCAGAATTTGATGGATGTTAGACTTATAAATAGAAATTAATAGAAATTTTCGCCATTTCGCTCTGGTTTGTATATATATATATATATTTGTTCGAAAACAACTTACTCATAAGATATGATCAAAAATTCAAAGTTTCTTGTATGAATAATCTCATCTTTCTCAAACATTTTTTGACTTATTCAACAAAGTGTCTTTTTTTTCTGTCGTTAACTATTTGCAAATTATTATTTAACTTTAAATGTTTTTTTGTTATATACCTGACTTGTGAGAATGTATACTCTAAGTATAGACAGTAAAGAGAAAGAGAGAGAGTTAGACAATAAATATAATCCTCTCTACATTCATTAGAAGGTAAATGAGAAGAGAGAAAGATATATATCTATATCTATATATATATTGTCGGAGCTCAAAATAAACTATATATATATTTTTTTTTATAAAAGTTACTATTAAACTATGACACAATTAACATCATATTTACAAATAAGATCCTTAGATTTACTATGACTTCTCTCTTATATAACAACAAAAACAAGAACTATAAAAAAAGAAATAGCATATGTACTTCATCGTGATAATTTTTTAATCGTAATCGTTTTCCAATGAACAGTTCGAATGAATTTAGCATATGTAAGTTAATGTTACATTTTGAGTAATGTTCAGTTAATAAAATTATTAGCTTTATTTTCATTTCAAATTCAATAACAGTATACTTCTCAATAATCATTGTTAAACAATAAAATTTGAGAAAAAAAAAGTCAGACAACCAACTCAGAGAGAATAAAGCCATCTACTCATGGAATTATTTTTTACTAATAATATCCACTTCTACAGATGAACAATTTATAAAAATTATAATATAATGATGTATAAATATTCTTTACCAATTGTGAGATGTACTCTGATTTTGCATGAAAATTAGATTCAATAAATATTGCTCTAACTTTCTGTTGCTTGTTACCGATTTATTCTATTAATTCACCTAGAGAACAATTTCAAATTTAAAAAAAAATTCTATTTTTATTTTTAGGGTCTAAATAATAATAATAATCGCGGTATAAAACGTAAAATAAATCATTCACCAACAAATTCCAACTGTTCAATATCACAAAACGGTAATTTAACAAAACAACAGCAACAACAAAGTTCAATGCATCCTCACTATGATCAGCATTATTTACACCAACATTCTCACAATCAACATCATCAATTTCACGCTCAAATGCAACAGCAACAGTATCAAGGTAATAGATTTTTGTTTTTCTACAAAAAATTTGCATTCAAATATGTATGATCCTTTTCTCAATTTTAGGAAACACTTCTTTGACAACAAATATTGTTACATTACAACCTTGTTCAACAATAATGTTATCGCAGCCTCTAGCTGGAACAACAAATCTATCTCAATCCTCATCTCCGTCTACATCGTCAAACATTATTAATTATTATCCACAACAACAACAACAACATTATGCCTCAATGAACAACTATCATCATTCACATCATATTCAACAAAATGGAGCACATTACAATCATTTTAATCAACCAAATCATATAAATGGTACAAATCAGATGACAAATGGATTACATCATCAACAGTCACAACAGCAACAACAACAACAACAGCAGCAGCAGCAACAGCAGCAGCAGCCACCGTTACCATCTCCAACGTCAGTTCTGAATCAAACTTACACTGATAAATCAATAGCTGGAAAAGATAGACATAAAAGAGTCAGGTATAATATAAAATTCATCTTATCAACCTGAAAAAGTAAATCATTTTTGCTTATTAATTAAGATGTAAAATGTGTGAACCTTGTACGCGTGATGATTGTGGTGAATGTGTTCATTGTAAAGATATGCCGAAATTTGGTGGTGTTGGAAAAATGAAACAATGTTGTATGAATAAACAATGTATTGCCGTATGTAGACATTTAATTGATTATTCATTATTATCTACTTTTCACAAATTCATTGATTTTTAGCCAATCTTACCTTCAACAGCCTCATGCCAAGTATGTTTAAAGAAAAAAGGTTCAAGAAAATTATCACAATTGAAAGCCGAAGAAGTTTTATATGAATGTGAAAGATGCATGGAAATTCATCATTTACCTTGTTTTCATGTATGTTACTATTGATATTCTTTAATTTTTATGATGCGAGTATTGTACACTTCATTTAATTTTGTTTCTTTATTAGACTACTCATTGTGAAGTTCCGAACGAAGGTGTGTTTAGCGATGATATACCAGAAACATGGTTATGCCCAAAATGTATCACAGCTGGAGCGCCAGAAGTATGTTGAATTATTGTTGCTTTTTTTTATAAAAAGACAAATTTACTATATCATTTTCATTTTAGCCTCCATTATATAAATTACGTCCGATTGTTCGTCGTACACTAGTAACAACAAATAAAGGCAAAAATGGTTTAATTGAATTACCATATATAATACGTTCATCGAACGATTTATTACCATCTAGTGTGCAACAACAACAACAACAACAACAACAGCAAACAACAACGAATGAACATTGTTCAACATTAGATTTGAATCTTTACGGTAATGATGATATTAATCAATTAACATCTGACATTTACGATTATGATACATTAGAAAATGATGCAAAAAAGGTAAATGATAAGAATTGTTATTTTTATAAGACCCCATAAAATTATTAAATAAAATAACATTAAACTTATTGTTTTCTTTATTTTGTAGCGTCGTTTATATGCGGTCTCCTATAGTGATAATGATAATCCAATGTCGGAGCAATTAACATTAAATACAAATTTAGATGATGTTGATAATGATTTATATGTACCTCAGATGTTTGCTGTTTAAGTTTTTTAACAGATCGATACATATAAACCGCAATCCATTTCTTTGTAAATGTGATATTTTTCTTCTTCTTTTTTCGTTTTGCTTAGCAAATTAGAAATCATCATTTGTCTATACATAATATCTGTTTGTTTGTTTGTTCATATTTTTCTTTTCAACACACGAAAAGAACCCATTTTATCCAATCATTATTATCATCATCACCCAAGGCTTCGTGCAGATACCCGGTGCCGAAGATTATTTAGATTGAACGATAATAAACAACGCAATATTAAACTTTTTCCTTTTAAACCGTCCCACCTTTGCTCTCTTTTAACGAAGAAATAAATTTAAAAAAACATTGTACAAAATCGTTACCTCTCTTTCTATCAATACATGTCTCTTTTTGTGTGTGTGTGTGTGCGTGTGTGGATCTGTCAATGCTTTTCCTCTCTTATTCTTGTATGTGGTTTTCTGTTTTTCGTTTTTATTTCATCTTCTTTTTGTTTTTTGTTTTGTTCATTTCGAAAAGAATTACATTTACTACGTACGTATGTATGAGAAACAAACAAAAAAATTGAAATAAAGAATTGAATTTGTTGTTTTCGAAATCAAAAATATATTACTAGTACTAGGATGATCTGTAGTTAATGTAAAACTAATCATCAATTTCTTATATAGTTCTTGTGACTAAGAACGTATCGAAGTTTAATACGTTTATGAATAGTTAATGTTTATGGTATTTTAATGTTTGTTCATGCAATACTGACATTCAGTACAAACAAAGTCGACTTAAAATATCAAAATCATTTTCTTTCTTTAACTGCAGTAAACCCGCGTGATTCATAGGGAAATGTTACAATAAATTCGTCTTTTCTCTGGATTTATTAGAAATTCGATCACTGAATTGTTCTGATGATATTCTGCGTATGTATTCTCGATTCAATTTAGAAGGAAGTTACAGAAAGACAGTCTCAAGAACTACGCGTGATAAGAGTCAATTCATTTGATTTTGTGTTTTGATAGTTTAAGTTTCAGAATGATATAATGGGAATTTATATTCTCGATTTCGTTCTGGTTCAAAATTAAAGCTTAAATCAGAGTCAGTTCAAGATTTCAAGATCCGAGCTTTTCTGTGACAAAAAAGCGGTTATACAGCATTTATTCAAAAACCTGAGCAACACAAAACAAGAAAATGTTTACAGATGGGCATGTAACTTATATCCATATGATATCATCTGATTCGTTCGTTGAAAATTCTCGCTCAATATGGAACCGTTGCTTAACTCTTTATTTAACTAACTCTTACACCAGTTAATCAATGTCTGCATTGTGTAGATCGTGCAAAACAGTGATCAATGCACTTTTTATTTTTTTTGTATTACACAATTTTGCAGTTCTCTATTAAAAATGTAATCCTGAATAAAATGCTTATGCTTTTATTCTAACAAATCATTTCAAACCACTACTTAAAACGCTCACTTCCGTAAGAAGGGTGAATGGGAAAGAATTTGCTAAAAAAAAGCACTTAGAAAATGTTAACTAAGGTAGAAAAAGATACAAATTCTGAGAAGTAGATACTTCGGATTACTCGGTATTAATGTCGTTAGTAAATGTGTTGATAAGAAAAAATTAGTGTGTGAGTGCCAGTCCGATTTCTTACTCTAGTGACTATTCAGTGCTACGGTGGTTCTTTTTGTGTACGGACACTGCTTTACCAGCCCTATTTCTTAATTTTATTTTATTCGATTGTTATTTCTCTTTACTAAAAGCAGAAATATTTAGTTTAGAAAAACCGATTTGAAAAACACCCATTTTATGTAGTCAAGAATTGGATGATTCACCCAATTCGACAGCTTATTTAAATCAATTTCAAGTTTTTCTATCTTTTATTAAAATCGTGCTGACATCAGTATACAGATGAGTTTTCTGATACTGACCCATGTCGTCGGGAAGAAATGGCTGATTGAGTGCAATTCATCAGCCGATTAATCGCGATTTTGAGAAAAAAATCATCGATAAATTTCGATTATGCGCGAGTTTTTCTGAAATGGGAAATTATAAGGCCCCCTCCCGTCAGATCTCTGGAACTATAAGTCCGATCTTAACCAAACTTTTAGGAGATGCTGATCTTGTGAAAGTATTGTGACGAAATTTTTTGTTTGGCTCTACCGTGCATGGTTTGTGAGATGTCGCTACAACAGTGACCAAAATGGGGCTGTTTGTAGCAGGCACGGGCGAGTCCGGACTGGAAGATTTTTTGGCGGACTCGGATTGGAGATTTTTTTGAAGGACTCGGACTTGAGTTTTTGTACTTCGAGTCCGATCTATTCAACTTTTAACACAAATGAACAGAGAAAAATGAAAAGCAAAATAACAATTATTGTTTTGGTGTTAACACCTTTTTCCCAAGAAATTGAAAATGTTGTTCGGATGACGGACATGCAAAGTAACCTTATTTTCTAAAAATCAAATATCTAACCAGGGCTCAGTAAGGTAAAAAAGAGAAATAAACCACATTCATCAAAAAAGAATTTAAAAGATTACCGAACTCTGACTCGGTCCTTAATGTTCAGGACTCGGACTCGCCCATGCCTGGTTCGTAGTTCCAAGATTTCTCAGTAACGAAACGCTGTGGAAAGCTCTGACTGATCTTAAATTGACGAAAACACATGTTGCTAGAGCCTAATAGAGCCGGATTTTTGATATTTTTCTTTCCAAATTAATGGTCAGCGTGAAAAGTCCAAAATTCGAAAAAGCCTCATTAACTTTGGTAAAGATGTTTTTCTAATCACAAATCTAGACCGAATAAAATCGGGCTCTATTAGCCCCTAACTACAAGTGTCAGCTTCAATTTAAGACCTTCCCGAGCTCTCGGCGATGTTTTGTTACCAAGAAATCTTGGAACTATGATATGGTGTTATGCTAAAAGTCGCTTTCCAGATATGGTGGCGCCAGTATCTAATGCATGTTTTAGGGCTTCCGGCAAAATTCTCATAACTCTTGATCAGAATATCATTCGGAGCTGAGAAATATCTCATTTTGATCAAAATTTTTGTTCTATTTTCCTATATATTAAAAGTAATTTTCGATTTGCTTTTTAATCGAAAAGTAAAACTTTTTCAAAAACCAGCTTTTCAAGGTTTTCAGAAAAATTATTTAAAAACCTCATACCCCTTCGATGAGGACCAAATAACATTGGATTCTGATAGTAGATAGTGTTTGCTATCTGATGATGTGCTTAGCTCAAGATCGACTTTTTATAAAAAAGGTTATGTTTCTGACCGGGGGGGGACCTTAAAAAATCGACGATTACGTCAGCAAAAATTTCTGATTAAAAATCGTGATTAAGCGCACACTTAATCGGTTGATTAATTGCGCTCAATCAACCATTTCTTCCCGATTTTGAAGACATGGGGAGTTATTTCATCAACATAACATTACAATAGTAGTGAGGATTTGTTTAGTAAGAATATGTCTGCGTCGTTGTAGGAAGCGTGTAAAACAAGGAGGGAAAAGGACTTTTTTTAGTATAACACCTCAGCACGCAAAACTATCGATCTGATCTATCAGTAGCGCTCTGACTTCGTAAAATTCATGATGGGAGATGGATAAAGGGATCGAATCCGATCACGAACTGTTTTTTTTATTATTGTGCTTCCATTTGAATCAAAAATAAAGTATTGCTGTCTCTTAGCAGTATGATGCAAATGCAGGCAAACTTCCTTCTCCAAGTTTAGTCGTAGACAAAAGGATTCGTGCAATGTGTGATTCGATCCCACTACCTTATGTTTTGCAAGGCAGCACCTTTAGTACCAGTATCTAATCGGTACTAGGTGCTGCTTTTTCCTCCTTGGCTTAAAATCGCCTTGTAAGGTTTTACGGTCAAGATAAGCTAAAATGAAAATGATGCCAACACGAGCAATATTCGCATAGAAGATTTCGACGTCATTTCCATTTCCAATTATCGTGACCTCCTACATGTGAAACACGGTTATGATTTAAAAATGAAATGACATGAAAATGAATATTGTCCCACAGAAAAAAATTATTTTTCTCATTCATTTATTTTTCATTTCACGAGGGAAGGTCCCCAACTGTCCAATCGCTTTTGAGCTGAACCTAAGTGGACAATAGGTAATCGAGGGTGCTGAATCCGAATATCACAATCGTTTGGGCTAACGTTGAGTTTTTGAACCGGTTTTCCGAAAAACCAGTTTTTCAAAAACTCTAAAAGATAACCAAAACCTTTCTTAATTAGGCCTGCACTGTCCCGGAAAAGCATACTTTTAGAAAAAGCACACTTAAATTGTGCCAATGGCATGAAAAAAGTGTGCCAAAGTATGCTTTTTATGTGCTGCTAGCATGCTTTTTTATGTGCTGCTAGCATGCTTTTACCATGCCATTGACACATTTCTAGTGTGCTTTTTGTGTGCCACTTCTAAAAGTGTATCATCGGCACACTTCAAGTGCGTCATCGGCACACTTTAAGTGCGCTAATGATGCACTTGAAGTGTGCCGATGATACACTTTTAGAAGTGGCACACAAAAAGCGTCCAAAAATGCTACCGCAGTGTACCGAAAGCACACTAGAAATGTGTCAATGGCACGGTAAAAGCATGCTAGCAGCACATAAAAAGCATACTTTGGCACACTTTTTCCATGCCATTGGCACAATTTAAGTGTGCTTTTTCTAAAAGTATGCTTTTCCGGGACAGTGTGGTTGTAGCCCGCAGATTTCTGATTAAAATGATACCTTTATGAGCTCTACATGACTTTTCTTTGCAAAATTATAGAATTTACAAGAAAAGCTCCCCTTGTGTTGACGTTAGTCTATAGACTAACCCTATAGGGTCTTGCATTACATCTTACAAAATTTGTGTATGTGTGTGTGTGTGGCCGTCAAATATTCTATGGATAAGCCAATCATAAGCGAGAAACATAAAAAATTTCTTTTTAACCCCGAGAGAGAATATATTCAAAGAGATGATCTGAAATATCTACTGATGCAGAAAGATAAAAAGCTAAGCAAACGTTTTCTGTAGGTAGTGGATAGATATCGCCAAATAGCAGTCAACTGTGATAACACAAAAAAAGTTACCTAGATAATAAAACTTGAAGTGTATAGATAATCTATCACAGCAAATCGATTAAAAATACTTCCTAATATTTTTAGAACTCTGGGGCTTTTTGCCTTTTATATTTATATTAGAGTACGAGTCTTACACATGAAAACAGAAAAAAATGAAGATGGCTTAGTCAGGCTTCCAGCGAGCGCCGACCGAAGGAAGGCGTGAGCAGGAGGCGGGAGCATTGTCTTCGATTTACAAGTCAGGAGAGGGCGTTCACTACCTCAGATCAAGGTTATTAAAGTAAAGGAATCGAGCGAGTGGAGACGAGCGTTACCTTGTTTAATTTTGTAAGTCATAAGCGTGAAACACATCTTACATTAAGTCTTTTGGCCAATGCAAGAAGCGTTTGTCGCCATTGGAATGATTCATCATGTACAATAAATAGACGAGAGATGGCAGGAAGGACAATGTGAAACATTTTCTACGCATAAAGTTAATACTTATGCAAACTGCGGATATTTATTTCTCGGGTACAGGTAGTTTTTTTTGAAATTTCAGTGTGTTTCGACATCAAGAGACTTATGTCTAACTTTTGGATGGTTAAAATTACAGCTAGTAGTAGCAGTGTTGGAATAAGACGTTTTGAATTGTTTCTTCGTTCGTTCGCTTGTTTATTTATTTCCATTATTTTTTTGCTTATTATTTCTGTTTTTTATAAGTTACAAACGTGTCTGACAGCTACAAAAAACAGGTGATGTGAGATTTCTACCAATGGTGTTTGTGAAGACTACTAAACTATTTTTTCTATATTCTGAATATTATGGAGCATCCGAGTGATCTAGTGAATATACTTGCTAGCGAACATTTGTTTACTTATGAATTTTAATGAGCACTTAGCAAGCACGTGACAAGTAGTACAGACACTTAGCAAGTATTTCCATCGAATGTCAGTTGATAATCACTTATCCAGGTATCTGTAAGCATAGGCTCAGTAGACTTGGGTCTTTCCTAAGCGTGTGATAAACACGAAGCATTTTGGAAATTTGTTTGAATCCTGTCTGATTCTGATATGCTCCGCCAGCTCTCTGAAAATGCATGCCAGATACTTTATTCACTTATTTGATCTATTACAGAGACTAGCGAGTTACTTGAGCAAGTGCTTGGTCAGCTATTTGTCAAGAAAATAAAATATTTAAGTATTTGACTTTTGTTGCTAGAACTTGACTCACTTACAAAATATCCCAGAAACTTTGGACAAAGCTTGTGAGATTATCTGAGCATAAGTACTCATTTACAACTGCATTCACTAGAGCAGCCTTGTAAGCGTGAACCTTAAGAAACATACATTTCCAATTGTCTCATTTATCATGTTTTCTCTGCTAAAAATAGAGTGAAAATCAAATTGTCACAGTAGTTATTCGTTTTACTGGTTTACTATCGTTAAAAACGTTGTTTTGCAGACTACTTTTTTGTTTGGAACAGAGATATAGAAGTGATTTCTATTCTGACTTCTGGCCCCCACATTACGAAAAAACTTAAATCTAACTTACGTCTAGGCTATTATATTCTAATATCTAAAGAAAAATTTATTTCTTCTCCGGTGTTTAATGAAATCATTTCTTACTTGAATCAAATACATGAAAAAATTGTTTGATGTAGTCTTCTTGAAAATCTTATAACTTACTTTTTAATGGGTTTCTAAATCCACTAAAAAGGTGACCTTTCCGAAAATCAAGATATTGCGCCTTTAGATAGTAATATGTAATAGTGATTGTCATATGTAATACCGCGAGAAGAAAGGAACTGAGATTATATTTTATGTTTACATCTTTTTCTAGAAAATGAATAGAGATTGAAACTTCAACCCAAAATTAGATGCATGATCTATTTTCAAATTAGTAAAGCGAAGCCTTCAATATTGACAAGACAGGGAAAGAGCGCTCGAGATTGATGTAAAAACTTTGATATCATTTTGAATCTGAAAGATTTTGATCTTGTGACAATAATCAATTTTTTAATACAACCTCACAACACTATCTCTTCATCCCATTTTCATCTGAATTATGTTCTACTTATGATCGTAATGCACTATGTTAACTTCAGCAATGAGCTAAATTCTCTTGTTTGCTTAACATCGACACATTCAGTTATTTTATGCATTACAATATCGATAGTTTCCTTCTAATGTAAGATATTTGAAAGAACATCCACTTCAAAACAAAACGCTAACGTTTACTGTTTTACAGAATCGTCTATGTTCTACTTGTAGAGATGAAATAACGATTTAATGTCAAAAGTTTATGACTCTCGCCTATGAATATCATTGAACCAATAGAACGCTCTAGAGAATGATTTCAACAACAGATCCATCACAAGTGCCTGTTAACAAAGTAAGCAACTTAAAAACTGAAATTAAAACAAAAAAGACTATTTACATTTTCATTTTTTTTAGAATGTATCGACTACGACACTTATTACAAAAGAAATTGAATCTCGAATAAAGTATGAATCTTGTGACTATTATATTATTAACGTCAAAAATGATCTCTTCTCTTTTAGAAAGTCGCCCGATTATGTATTCGAAGTATTTTTAGAAATTCGTGAACCAGCTAACGAAAATGATCGTAGGTTTTATATTAAAGAGGACAAAGACAGTTTTTCTCATATATTGTTGTTTGTTTTAAGAACCAGAGATTCTTCTTAAATATCCACTCGATTTTGTTGATGATATGTTGAAATCAGTAGCCAATTTTGTTTATCCATGTAAAATATCATTGTAAGTAATTATAATCATTTTAGTTTCAATTCTACATCTCCTTATACTTCTTTAGAGGCGAGCAAGATGAACATTATGCATTTGCAGTTCTTGATAACACCGCCGTATTATTTCGTTTTGGATACTGTCGACGTTCAAATAGAGAATCAACGTGCTTATGTATATTAAGGTAATACATTTTTAGTTCATATTAGATAATAAATCTGTGCTAAAACTATTCTCAATCTGTTTTTCTAGTTATTATCCCTGGTTTGAAACGTTTTACACAATTTTAAATGATATATCTCAAATAATAAATTATCGAACGGTACGTAGACTAGTATAGATTCTAATCATCTCTGTATTTAGTTCTATATCAACACTCATTTCAGTCTGACCGATCTTCTTCTGCTATTGATTCAAATACTTCAACTTTAGTAGGTGTATAAAATAAATTTGTTCAAAGCTTTTCTTAAAAATTCTAATTGAAAGAAAATATGCGTGATATCATCAATTTTTTGACTATGCTGTCTGCTCTGCTAATAAAAGCTAAAGTCATTTGATATAATTTTTATCAAGTTAAAATTTTGTTTTATTTTCTATTATAGCCAGTTGATTTAGACACCTATCTATCTTTATTGCACAATTATAAATTATTAACAATAGATGAATTTAATAAAAGAGAAATAAATGAAACAATACAAATCAAGTGTCCATATAAAGTGAAATATAATTAATTCAAAGTTACATAGAAATCTTGTACTAATCTATTATTTTAATTGAAGGAATATTTTTATCAACGTCCTGATTTGAGAAAATTGCCAGCTGTTCCATCAAGCGTAAGTTAACTAGAAAAAAAAAGTCACACACCTACACTCCTACACATCTACACACCCACACACCTATTTGAATTTCATCATGTTTTTTCTTGTTTATTTTTTCTCCTATTTTTAGCATAATTTTGCTATGATGTATTCTTGTTTGGGTTCTGATCTCATGTTACAAGTATTTTCTCATATTTTATTTGAACGTCGCATGTTATTTGTTTCATCAAAATTATTTCATTTAACAACATGTGCATGTGGATGTTTACAATTAATTTTTCCCATGCATTGGTAATTAAACAGAAAAATAATATATTATTGTCTTCAATTAAATAAACAAGTGATTTTTTGGATTTAGGCAAAGTATATTTGTGCCTATATTACCTTCTTCTATGACTTGGCTATGTCAATGTACAGTACCTTACATTATCGGAATTCATACAAATATTTTTTCCGTAAGAGAACCTATTGAGAAAATTAAATATGATTTCTACTTATATTTTTTCTTTTTTCTTTTTAGACATTAACTATTAGTGAATTAGGAGATATTGTCATTGTAAATATTGATGAACGAACGATTGAAACCCAATATGATGATTTAAGTCGACTTCCAAAACATCTTGTATGATTTTATCGTAATTAATTAGAAATTTAGTCCTTTAAAAGTCATATAATTTAGTATCGTGGCATGAAAAAAGGTATTCAACGTTCGGAAAAATTACCCGGTGATAGTTTAGCAAAAGTATTTTTACGAGCAATGGCTTTTACTGTTGGTAATTATATATTGTTTTCTTTTTAAGAGTACAAAATAAGGATTTTAAAATGATATAACATTGTTTTTTTGTTTTGCTTATTTAATGTAACGAGATTATCAGATGATACTTAAGAAATTTTGTTTATGTAATTGTAATAGCTTATCATAACGACAATTGACAATCTAAAAGCGACTTTGTTTTTTACTTCTCTGTAAAAATTGTCATTGTAATTTAATTGAGTACAAGGCAAATTCAAAAAATAGTTGTAGTTTGCTCGTAGGGATTGATTTGTCATATAACAATAATTTTTCTTTTTTCAGGCAGTTACTCCAATGGTTTCATTTTTAAAGACGATAAATTAGATTTTGATCGTGATCAATATCTTCGACAATATGAAAATACACCTATACACGAATATATGTCAGCTGTATCACATACACAAATGTTTGAACAGGTTGATTATTAAACGGCCTACTTGATTAGTCGATGTTTCATGAATGATTTTATCTATTTAGTTTTCAAGGTATCGTACAGATTCATTGATTACATCGTTTGATGATGAATTTGATCTTGAAGTTAAAAATGTACAACAAATACAACAAAGCAAAAAAGTATATAGAACAGAATTTCTATAAACCATATTGATCTTATTTATAATAGATCTGATATGTCTAGTATTTAGTTTTATATTTTTTCACAATTAGCAAAAATTATTTTAACTAAAGCATTTGTTAGAAGAACATATCTTTTTAGGTATTCTCAGTTTTTTATTGCATGACAATAAATCTGTTTCACTACCTTTGTCTATTAAAAAAACATTTTATGCAAAAAATAGAATACCTACGTATTTTGTATACAATTTTTGAGATATTAACTTTACTTTTTCGTTATAACGCGTTATTGACTATACTTTTTTCCACTATATGTACGTACTCTAGTTTGGGCTTTGATAGTTTTGAATGTGGATTTTGTAATGAAACAAAATCTTGAAAAAACAAGTTATTTTGTTTTTTATGTTTAGATAAAAGCTAATAAGAAGTTTCATAGAATTCTCGAAAAAGTGAGTATGTTTATTTCTTTCTTAAAATGCGCTTTTAAATTAATAGCAGTCGTGTTTCACAGTATGTAAAATATGGCAGCATTCCTCGTACTAGTGCAGACAAACATTTAACATTAACACATTATAATCGATTATCTACGTTGGATAATCTTAAAACGGTATCATAACAAAAAAAGCTACGCTAAAGTCAACAGACACGACTCTTCTCGCTATTTGAAAAACAATGTTTTCTGCTTAGACAAATTATGAAATCAAAACTTCGTTAAAATAATATGTTTAATTATTATCCATTTTTTATTACCATTATCCCGTTGCTCATAATCAAACACCCTCTGCCTTGACGTTCAAAACAAACTTTTTGTCGTCATCTACTCATGTTTGAAAACCCTTGTTTCTGCTTTAGATGAACTTATACTAATAATCGCTGTATTAGAGTTGATTTAGAGCATTGATTTTAATATAAGACTTCTCCGCTTGCATTATATACCTTTTCTTCATGATATACCAATTGATATACAAATGTGTTCCTTCTACAGTTGCACGATGAAAGAATCACATTTCAATGAACACACTGCTCTGTTTTTGCTCATTTGCTCTGTATAGATCTTTTTTATATCCGCTATAATCGTTGTTTTGGAGGTTATGTTGGCAATATGAAAACATTTAATTTGATTTATTATAGGCAAATCCTATTATTGAACAAGTTCAAAATCGTGCGGAAAAATTGGGAACAGTGGTAGGTTGCGGAGCATGTTTTATTAATCATTTTGTAACATTTTTGTTTGTATTTTCTTAGATTAATCGAGCGGGTCAACGCGTCATAATTGAGGCATCAACAGTGAGACATAGTTTGACAACATTAGATGTATAAAGTTACTTTTTTATGTTTTTATTCGTGAACTATCCAATTATCATATTCTAGATCAATGATGTTATTAAACGAAATGAATATCGTATGAAAGACGATAATGTTGTGAGTACGACCATAATGTACTTTTCACTTTCTAAGGGTTTACATTGTCATTTTAAATACTAGTAAAATTTTATCAAAACTCATAATCGTCTTATTCAACGCCATTAAGGGCCTTCCCTCCCTCAGAAATGGTGATTTTCGGTCACAAAATCGGTTTTGAGATACACACATGGAAAGATAGCCTGAAGTGTCTACTTCCAGAATCTGTATTGCTTTTGGTTACAAAACTGATTTTTCGGGGATTTTGAGCAAGTTTTCCAAGAGCCTCGAAAAAATGGGTCTTTAAATAATGGCTTTTTCCTGGATAGTTATGCAATTAAAATTTTTTTGAAAACACAGCTTTGTAGAGCAAATGTTTCTGATCAAAATAAGACCTCGCACAACTCTGTATGACCTTGCATCAAAAAGTTACAGGCATTTTCCTAGAAGTCATAAAATCGACTATTTCATACAGCGTTTAATAAAGCGTTTTCACTGTAGGAGAGCTACACCTGAACGGCGTCCCAAGATTTTTAATAGGGGTTTGTTGTAGAGAGTTCATTCTTTTTTTGTTTAAAAGAGGAAAAGAAACTACATCGACTGACCGGCGTCGATTTTTGAATTAGGTCTTAGTTTTTTGTCGAACGAAGGATTTTTAGAAAATCCGGAAGGCTTTTTCGGGTTTTGGAGGTTGTTGGTTGCCTGGAAAATCAATAAAGGCTTAATTAAAAATCGGCGCCGGTCAGTCGATGTAGTTAGGTGTCTAGTTTAAAATAAAACAAACCCGAACTCTCCAGCTTGAAGTATATTAAAAAATCTTGGGACGCCGTTCAGGGTCCTTTTTGAACCTTGATCTCTGGAAAACTCCTAAACCGTAACACTTAGAGACAAAAAAATTTTTTCATTCCCGTAACTCATTGTGCCGAACATTTATGGAAAGTTTCGTCAAGATCGGATGCACGGTGTCGGAGATAATTTCTGAGGGGGGGGGGGGGGCCGTTATTTAGGTGTTTTTTTTTNCCCCCCCCCCCCCCCCCCCCCCCCCCCCCCCCCCCCCCCCCCCCCCCCCCCCCCCCCCCCCCCCCCCCTTAATTAGGTGTTTTTTTGTTTAGCCGAATAACCAAAAAGTTGATTTGGAACAACAAAATCAGCATTTGAGTACTCAAAAGTCACAACTATATGTAAGTGAACAAAAGTAAGAGTGCCCGCCCTCTTCATATCTTTATCATTGTAATGAAGAACAGAAATATGATTTAGTTTAGAAAAAATTTAACTAATATTTATGTATATTATGATTTAACTAATGTTTCTTTGTGTTTCAGCCTAGTATATCTGAACTTCATGATGAAAAGTATGCTTTTACGCTTCATAAAATGTTTATTTACACTCCTTTTCATCTATTTTTTATAGATCGATTCCATATGAAAGATTTTCAACAGGAAATGTTAATTTTGGTGCCACATATACCTCAGTACACAACCCACCCTCTTCCACGTCCGATTCATCTGAAGTGTCGTCGCCAGAATTAACAAGAAAAGAAGAGAGCCTAATCCTGATTGATACTGTAAGTTCCAATGATTATAAAGTCTAAAAACAGGCAATATACATAGCCGAAATATTCGACGTAGCTTCATTATCTAAACAAAAAAAGTGTATCGTTGCATTTATTTTCAGGAACCAGATACTCTCTCAACAAATCCTATTACCACTGTCTTTAATCCCCTGCTACCTTCACCAGTGACATCAAATGCAATTAATCCGGCAAATAATCAAACGCAACAACAAGATATGATTCGTCCCATCGTTCATGATAATATAAAACAATTACAAATAGAATTAAAACATAAAATGCAAAATTTTGATGGAAAACGAATTGATCCCAAAGAGGAATATGCGTCAAAAGAGGCAAATTTAATTAAAAAACTTGTTCGACAGTTTGATCCATTAGATGAAATGTCATCGAGTTATACGACAAAAATGACTGAAAATAATTTAACAACAGCGCCCTATTTTAGAAAAAATGTGGGTAAGTCCTTGATAGCTAACTATGATAATAATTAATCTTGGCTAGTTTAAAATCCCCAAATTTTCATAATTAATAAAGCTATTTTCGTGAGACTGTACCAATGCTTATAGATTTCATTTTTAGTTGTTTGATGCTGAAATACTCTATATCTTAACAACATATATGTCTAAATTCATAAAACAATGAGTATAAGATCTAAAGAATGTTAAATACTTGATATACATTACCCACTGTTTCCTTAATTTCCATGAAATGTTTTTCACTTCATCCATACACTGTGATCAACCATTGTTTTTAGATTTTCTTTCTGATCCTTCAATTCCTGTTATGTTTCATAATGAACTTAAGCCAATCACCACTACATCTGCATTTCGTCATCCTAGTACCTATGATATTCCATCGAATCGTGTTAATCATATTTTACAAAATATTCAGTCCTCTTACGGACCTAATCCTTTATCAACAGTCAGAACTGCGCCTCCATCTCTATCACCCTATATGGGATATCCATCTTTACCACAAAATCCGAGTACGATGAATTTTCCCCCTCATTATCCTTCCGTTCAACCCTATATGTTCCAACAACAACAAATATTTTCTGAAATACAATCACCACCACCTGATCCATTGTTATCTACTTCAAGAAAAGCTGTAAATAGTATAGACACACAGTCACTTATTAATTCAGATATTCTATTTGATCCATTGCAACAACAACAACAACAAAAAGAAAGATTATATCCAGTTGTTCCATCATCAACTTCTCTCGAATCACGTACACGTTCTCATCAAACAAATTTGAATTCCACAACAAATTTGATCGATTTTTAAATTCATTTTTTATCAATTACACAGTATGAGTTATGATTACACAGCACCTAAATTCTTTTTTTGCTCAAAAAAATATATATAAATCTGATTCATCTAACAAAATATTATACTAGTCAGGAATGTTTCGATGAGAACAAGTCAATTAAAATGATTCACTATACTTTAAATATTCAGTATACAAGCTTAAAATATTATTCTAATTTATGTTATCGTTTTTCATTTTTTAAATTATCATGCAATATATTTATCAACTCATATGCATTTCTTTTATTTTTTTTATTCTCTTATTGTTTTTACATCATGTTAAAAATATTTTCTGTTATCATTAATTTTTTTTTCTTTTTTTAGTCGTTTCTTATATTTACTTCACGTACACGTGACATCTATATTCGTTTTTTTTGCTTGTAGTCACACGTGTGAATTTTCAATGTGTTAACATTCTGTTATTGTTACTGTTTTATTTTTGATAAATAATGTAAACTATTAATGTCTAAAAAATCAGATTCTTTTTCTTTCGATTTTTTTTTATGAATGATTTGTTTTCTTATCTAAATTTTAGAAATATACAACCGGATTGTCTAATTTTTATTTATTCTATTTGAAATAAAATAACAATATAATCATCAAGTTTTTTGACAGTATTTCTATTTGTAAAAGAAAACAATATGTAAAAAAATGAATTTGAAAGATGAACTATTGAGATATAACCTAATTAGCTTTTGTCTTAATTAAGATGTTTGAATGAATTTATTTGAAAAATGCTGTTTTTATATTTCTCATATATTTGTCTTTTTGTTTTAGAAATTTATTTCTTCTTTTTCTCTTTTGCTTCTCTAATTAAAAAAATAATTTGATTATTAGACTATATGATGTATATTAATATTAATAATACAAAGAAGAAGAAGTAGTAAAAAATAAAATATCGTAATTAAAAATGGACGATTCAACATTAAATTCACAATATCTTTCATCGTCTTCACATTTGGAAAATGTTGAAGCATTAATTAAAAATTTAGAAAAACAAACAATATCTACATTAGATAATTTTGAACATGTTATTGGTGGTGATCGAACACAATATAAATCATTTATAACAAGTTCATTGACATCATCTGGTACAATGAATATTGACGATAATCCAGATGATAATTTTCTTGTTCATAGTATATCGCAAGAACCAGGTGAAAATTCAACAGATAGTTTATTTGCGCAACGTGATTTATTTGGTGAATCAGTAATTAATAATCGTAATCGAACTCCAACAACAGCATACGATGAACGAACTGTTCCAACAGATCAATCAATTACTGGTGATGGTTTTCAATGGGATGATCAGTATGATGCGAGACAAAATTATCGTTTAACGTTTAGTGAATCAAAACAGCGACCACATCATCATCACCATCATCATAATAATAATAATAATAATCACCATAGTCATCATTTGCACAAGAGTAACCATCAGCGACCAAAGACAGACGAAAAGAAAAAGAAACGATCATCATCTACATCTAATGGGTTAGTTAAGATATTTTTATGTAATAATATCGACGTCTCTTCAAAATTAAAAAATTATGATAAAAAAAGATTTCTTCATATAGATTCACGAAGGAGTGATAATAATTTTCATATATATTGATCCTATTCTTTTTATTTTGCTGTACTGACAAGCTATTTTGTCGATAATAAAGTCGTTATTCTATACCCAACATCGTTCGTACGTCAAAATAGACTGAATGTATTCTGTTTCTTTCTTTAGTCAATCAACATCCACCTATTTAGATGATTTACCGCCCGATACATCGACAACAAATTTAAACGATTGGTCTATGCGTTCATCATTTGATCTTGAACAATCACTTGATATGTCACCACAACCATACGTACAGCAACAACAGCCGATTCTCACAACATCCTCATCAACAACAGCTCTTCTACGCTCACAAGCACAAAAAGAAGCGGTTCCATTACCCCATTCTCCTGGTGGCTCATCAACAACTTCAAGTTCGTCTTCAACATCGTGGAAACGCATGAAAGAAAGTCAACGTACGTCATCAGGTGTTGAAGCCAAAGAAACTCGACCACCATCTCCGTTTAGTCTTTATCGAATATTTCAACAGAAAACATCATCTACGCCGCCTTCGATAGCTCCACAACATGCACGTGGTAGTGCATTTCAAATATATCGTCATTTAAGCGCAGATAATGATACTACAGCAGTTGTTCCAAATACATCTACAATGTCAATATCAGGCGAAAATATACTTGACAACGGAGGAATTAAGCATCTAAATGCAGCTACAAAACGTTCAAAAACGCGTGAGAAACGTGAAGAATCAACACAATTTCCACCTCATATTACTGACCAAGGCATACAAACATCAATGTTAATGTCACAAACACAAATGACAGCACCCTCTCATGAACAATATCGACGAACAAGTAAATCATTACAAACAGATAATCTAGGAGTATCACGCTCTAGTCGACAGGCAGGAAATAATTCAAATGTATCCAGTGGTAAGTTTTGAGAAAAAGACTCATTTATCTTATGAAACTGGTAAAACAACAAAGAGATCAATACATTTATTGAGTGAATTTTTTTCTCCTTTTAGGAGATAGTTACTTTCCAACAAAGTCGGAATCTGCTGATCGTTCACAACAAGCACCCAACACACACAGATTTATGTCTCCAAGTCCATCTTCATCAAACTTATTATCTGTCCCAAAAATTGCCCAACAAACTTCTACGACAACCTCTTCAACTTATAAGTCGTTACCCGATCTGTCGTTTATCTCGCAATATTCAAAAGAAATACCACATTCTAGTTCTCAAACTACTTCACCAGTACCACCGACTAATTTTCAATCATCTTCTCAAACAGAATTTATCACTTCATCCAATTCCACATCTCAACAACAACAACAACCACAATCCGAACGTCCTCGTACATTAAAATCAATTAAACGTTATAAAAACAGTAAACATCAAACAGAGCCATGTGTATTTTATAGTCCACAATTACGAAAAACGTTTGCTGCTATACCAGCAGCGCAAGTTCAATCGGGGCAAAATCAAGTAATGATGTTCAAGATGCAACAACAACAACAGCAGCGGACTCATGGCAAACCTCCACCAACTCTAAAATCGTGTTTAAAACACAACATTCGTGCTAATTCATGTGATATTGCGGCCGTTCTTCGACTTCAACCAACGCTACCTCCTCGCTCATCATCGGCTGCAAAAAATGAAAAAAAACAAATTTATGTTGAGCAATCAAAGGTAAGGACACCCGATTCTTTAGATTATATCACATAATTTTTCGTTGATATTAAAACTAAAGTAAAATCTGCCAATATATTTCTCGGAAATATTAAGAAGTAATAAAATGATTATGAGCAAAATTCAAAGAGATGATAAAATTTTATATTTTTTAATATCACTGGAATGAAAAATTTACATATTTTGAAATGATTCATATTATTAATAGAGATCACCTGTTATTAGTAGTTCTTCGTATTTTTCTTGTAGATTGAAACTCCGGTTATTGACAACAGTGCAAAAGATCGTTCGTCATCATTGACACCTCCATCACCAAAACGTCGTTATTCTGAACCATATTTATTAGAACAACATGAACAAAAATGGGATAAAACAAATCATGTCCCTTCCTCATCTGAACTACCTAATTATATGTTATTGAATTCAGCTGATAATAAAGATAATCAACAACCACAATCTACTCATCATTATTCTGATTATGATTTAAATATGATGGTACAAACAAAGAAAAGTGTTAGCTTTTCAGAAAATATTGCCAAACATTTAATATCACCATGTAATCCAGGAATAACCTTTACTTCAACGATTGAACAAGAACAACAGCCAACAAATGATCTTCTGTTAACATTACATGGTAAAGAATATAATACAATGTTGAAAACATTACGTTATGGAGCGAAAGACGGAATGAGAAGATGTCAAAGTAAGTAAACTTTTATCTTTTATATTTTAATAGTTCTAACAGTCTATAAAAAGATTTTTTATTATTTTTATCGCTATCAACTTGAGAACAAAAAAGAAACATCAAAACTCTATTAGACAATTAACCTTTATTCTCAATGATTATAATATAAAGGTATTCTCTTTTGCCACAGAGAATGGTTACTTCTAATTGATTATCAAGATTTTATTTACTCTTTCTCGATGATCAGTTTCATTTAAAAATATTTAAGTATTTTTTTTATTGCTTGTGTTTGGTGTTCATATTAGTTTATTTGATATAGAATAATCAGATATATGTCTGTATAGTTTTTTTTCAAATGCCAGTATCAGTTTACAAAACATTTTTGTTTTATTTGACTAAGGCAAAGTAAATTTCGACGACAAATGATCTTCTATATGTACGTAGATGTATATATATATATATGTATATAATAATAGAGAAAAAAGAAATGTGATCTAAAGTGATTATAGGTCTCTAATAAAATAACATGAAAACTGATAATTTTTGTTCTTTGTTTCATTCATTGGAACGGATGTGATTTGAATATAGAAATAGGTTTATTTGTATTAGAGGATGAAACAAAGAAACTGATTGTATACACTTTTTTTCAATGTTTGTAAGTACACAAGACAACTGTTTTACTTCTAACGACAATGAATTTACCTATTTACTTCATTATGCTTTATAGTTACATATAAGAGAAATTCATCGAAATAGAGACTATTCTATAAATCTACTTTTATATATCATGCCATTGCCTAAAAAGTTATAGAGAATTTCACAGAGTAATGATTTTTCACTGAATACATCTGAAATATAAAAAGAATTTTACAATTATTTATTCTTACCGTTCTTTTTTTAATCTTTAGCCGATATTATTGTCATGAATCCTGTCAATCTTCACAGTTTTACAGATAGTCCACCAAATGAATTTCGTTTACAAGATGATGGTGGACAACATGGCAACAATAGCAATGATGAGGATGATGACCAAGCCATTCTAGAAAAAACTACAGTGAATTATGTAGAAGATGGTAACATTCCTTCAAACACTTCTGACATATTGACCACAACTCCTCCTACTCCTTCTACTCCTACTACTACTGCTTCTTCTTCGAATGTAGAACCAGAACATAATAAAATTGAGCAACTTCTTTTAAATGAAAAAGAAAATGTAAATACTGAGCAACAAAAACAGCAACAAGTTGAAAAAACCAAAAAAATTAATACAGAAATTAAGCCTGAAATTATTTCCTCCTCACAAAATACTCATCATACAACTGAAGGAAAAACTTTAATGTCTAATTCATTTTTAATGAATTCATCAACATTAACACAACACCCCCCACGAACAATGGAAGGTATGTAATTTGATCATATATATAGATTTAATTCATGGTTTTTCGTTGTATTATAGCTGTACTTGACAGTGTCACTGAAACAATAAAACAAATATACGAAATTAAACGAGGTGATAAGGTATGATTTTTGAGAGAGGACGATGTTAATTTACTCATTCATTACTAACATGTTTGTCAAAATCTGCAAGAAGAAAAAAAGAAGAGAAAAATTTCAATTCCATCAATTTTTATTGTACAATAGAAATGGTTTATATATCATCCTTGAAAAACGGTACAATATTTCTAAAATTCGTAACTAGTGTAGTAGTAGCACTATGGTAAAAGACGTCTTGAACTATAATAAATAATAAATAATAAATATTAGACTAGAATCTGTATAAAATTTCCATTAGTACGTGAAAAATAGTAACATTTGATGCTTAAAATGTTTTTTGGCCACAACAGATACGATTTCTTCGTATTCTGATGTCTCAAGTAATGCTTCTTACGTCTCAATGTGTCTTTTCCATCTGCAAATAAATTTGTATCTTAATGTGCTATAAGCCAATTCATCCACAGTTTTGTTTTAATTAGCCCTAATCTATATAAGAGAAATCAATTTCGATATGAATATTATAATAGGTTCGACCTATAGGTAGAAATATCACGTTATATAAATGCTTAAAAAAAATGTATCTTAAATATTTGAATATGTCTTCCAAAATGCGTTATTAGAGTGTCAAAGATTGAGTTTCAATGTCTCAATGTGTCTCACACAAAATGCATTCAACAGTGATCCATCGTTCATCTCAATAAGATGTATCTCGATCGAGACATGTTGCTAATACTCCACTAATTACGAATTTTATAAATGGTGTGAAGCTTTTTAAGGATGATATATAAATCATCTCTGTTGTGCAGTAAAAATAGCTTGAATAATTCAAAACATTTGGGTTTCCTCCTTGAAATATGATGTTTTATTAAAATTTTAATCTTTTAGTAGAGTACAAGGATTTTGTAGCTCGTGAGAAATCCGAATGATAATTAACAGAACAGTGAAAGTTCGATTGTGTTACTTTGAAAAAAAAATGACTTTTTAACCTGTAACCAAAGAGCGACTAAAATTAGTATATGAAAACGATCGAGAAGATAATCAGTTATCATTACCACTATAGATTAACATTCTGCTTCTGTCGACTTCTCACAAAACTGACTAGATTTTTTTTTGCTTTTAGTCATTTTTTCTTAATAATGAATCAAATCCTCAATTAGATTATTTATTACAAAATAATTTGTGTCTTGCTGTACGCGATATATTAGAAAATGGTTTAAAACATCAGCAACAACAATCATTATTTACCGCAAAACGGATCACATTATGGAAGATAATTGACTTAGCTGTAGGACAAGGTATAATACTCTTATACAAAAAATATCTAATTCGTCTAGAAACAGTTTTTACACTTTTACGCCTAATTATTATTTTCAGACAATGATATTTCGATGTTTGATGCCTATCATCTAGATATGTCAGGTAAAAGAGTACATAAATTATACAGTATAGACAGAAATGTTATTATTTTTGCTTTGTGCAAGTATGTTCGTCAATGTTCATCACATAAGAGACACTTTGAAATTAATTTTGCATATTCACAATTGTTATTATTCGTTTAAGTTATAATTATTCTTTAAAATATCATTTTCGTTTTCTTTTAGGTCAAATACCTAGTCCATTCTACGATGCTAAAATGATTGCACAAAATGTTCAAACAACAAGTTGGTTTTGTAGATTTCAAGCATTTATTTATGCACTTTTAAAGTAATGATTTTTCAGTCATTCTAGATTTATCGTTAATTTATTATGTTTTATATCAAACTATAAGAAATAAATATTTATTTTTAATTTTAGTAAAAGTGAGCTAACAAATTGGCTTTATCATTACATGCGTCAAAAAGACTTTCTTCTACGTTATTATGATCCGACAGCACTTATGCTTGTAAATAATCATGATACATTTAATATGTTTGAACGTTTAATGTCACAGTTTGAAAAACTTTCACCATTCGCATTTCGTTTAACGTTTATACCACCATCATTATCTCCGACTAGTGTATCGGGCACAATGTTAGCATCAAATGATGATTTAACGACAACAAGTACAACATCGAACGGTGTCAAAGATTGGGCAATGACAATGTCAAGACGAGCATCAAAAACATTTGGTAATAACAGTAGTGTAACACAACCGATAATTGCTACCGTTGATCATACTCCAGTAATAACAAATGGAGGTACAATACGTTCAACATTATCGAAAAAATTCAATATGCGAACATGGTTTCGGGGAAACGGAAATAATAATACGGTTTCTGATCCAACTACAAGAAAAGGAACAACATCAGCTGTAACAACAAAATTAGTAGTTATTCATAAAAGATATCTGGTATTAAAGAATTGATGATAAATCACTTGATAATTTAATGTAAAAGTAAAAAAAGTGTAAAGAAGGAGCGGACGTCTTTAGTGGATGGTCTCTTACCTGTACCAAAACATGACACGAATTTTGAAATGAACAGTAACAAATTACGAACAACATCACCTAGACGTCCACCATTAACAAATGTATTTAATAATAATAGTACTAATGCGGCAACATCCACTCAAAAACCCGTAACTCCTACTAATAATCGTACATCCATATCTCGTCGAGGTGCCTCGCCAGCTCCAGCAAATTCGTCACCGACAACAGCAACAACAGCAACAGCATTTCATTCAAAAATTCCGCGACCATCATTAAATGTTGACAAAACGAATAAACCACTATCAGCACGTTATCGTGCAGGTCAAAATACAACAACCACCACAAAATAACATACTTTTTTTTTATATACTTCTCTTTTTCTAATAGATCTGAGCGTCTTATATATTTTTTGCCAATGTGATTGTTTTTTGTGTTAATGAACGTAGGTTTTTCACTTTTTTTGGTTTGAGTCTTGATATGAACAAAAAAATAATAATACCTTAATTATTTCCTACCATTTTTCTTGATAAAACTCATTCATTCTCAGTTATTTGATATTCAGTAAGCATTCCATTGTTTTCATTGTTTGACACATACTGCTTTTATATATTTTTTGCCTTTCATTTTGCCGTCTTTATACTATGAACGAGTGATGGGATGCTTTTTATGTCTCCTTTATTTGTTGTTGTTGTTGTTTTTTCATCAGTCACAATATTTGGGTGGTTGTTCGTATTTTCTCTTCTTTTTTCTTCTTTTCGTTGATTTCTTACTAGTACTACACATACATGCACACAATATTTGAAAAGAGAAAATTTTTTGTAATTGAATTCCAATAAATACACTTGCCATTGTAAAATATTTTTCTTCTATTCAATGTATATCAATGGATACAACAAGCATTATTTTAAAAGAAAGTCTTATGAATTAAATTGCTAAGTTAGCAATACTTATTGTATCAAATTGGATATTTATATTTAATTTTCTTCTTAAAAGTGAATACTAACTAGAATACTGACATTTTCCGTGTTTTAAAAGAAAATGTTGACAAATTTATGATTAGAATTTTAAAAAAAGATACTTTTCGATTAAACAATTAACGAAATGATTGTCATCTATCATAGTTATTTATGGAATCTATTTGTTTTGAAAAATATAGTTAGAAAAGCAACGTTTTTTTTTATTTTCTTTCAAAATTAGTTTTCAATGTTTGCCGGTCAAAAATTGAGAAAAAAAATTTTTTTTCTATTATATGACGTGTTTGTTTGCATCATAACATGAAATTTACTTGTGCGACGATACGATCAACTACATCATATCAGAATGAAGATGAATAACTGCCTGTTATAAATATTGATTAATGGGGGTTTATTTCAAATGATATTTATAAGGTTAGTTTAGTTATGTTGAGCAACTCTGTTCAATTAAATTTCGAACTGATATGGATTTATCTAAATCATTGCTATTATTTTAGATTAAAGTAACTAGTAATAGGTCAGTTTATATAATTATGGCAGAAAATTTTCCATCTTTTAACGGATTTACAACACCAAAAAATGATGTTAATAGTGAATATTTAGCTACTCTAATTGAAATGGGTATACCAAACGATTTAGCTAGACAAGTTCGTTTTATGTTTTTCAATAAGAAATGAAAAGTTTATACTGACAATAAAAGTGAAAAGTCTTAATGAAATTTTTTCTCCCCATTGCCTCTTAACTAAGTGTAATAAATGAGTTGTTTTTCTTATACAGTTTGTATTACTCATTCGTTTTAGGCATTAATACTCGTTGAAAATCGGAGTCTCGAAGAAGCTTTATCAATTGTATTTAATGAACCATCACCATCTGCTTTACGAACAACATTTGAAAATAGTCGTGAGCAAGCGATTCAAGCGAATTTTTCTGGCGTCAGTTTTCAAGCGGTATAAAACATAGAGCAAATAAAAATTTTCCGTGCTCTTTTTTTATTACTTTTTCTGTCGATATTTTAGGTAGAATCTGATAGTGATTCTGAGATTGATAAAATGTATAAAATGTTATTCGTTGTTAATGGCTCATTGAAAATGAGTTCGGGTAAAATGTGTGCTCAAGTAGCTCATGCCGCAGTCGATTTATATTCACAATTAAATGATCAACGTTCAAAGGCCTTAAATTATTGGACAAGATATGGTCAAACGAAAATTGTTGTACGTGGAAATTCAGCCGAAGAATTATTTGAAATACAAAGTCAAGCTTCTCGAACGAAAGGAATCGTTACCGCGATTATACAAGACGCGGGTAGAACAGAAATTGAAACCTCATCTGTCACATGTCTTGGTAAGAAATCAGTATCACTGATAACGAAACATTCTCGAGTGTCCATTCGCTTTTTTTCTTCAAATCGACTTGATTATAGATTGATTTTAATGCTAATCGTAAATATAACGGGTAGCTCAAATTAAATGGGACAGGATCATTTTCTTTTTTTGAACTACTCAGATACACTTCCAGAACTTCGTTTTATACTCATTCGGTACAGAAATGAATTCTCTACGAAACTTGCTATTTCAATCTCTGATAGCATTTTTCTTGTTTTATATACCATTCAAAATATTGAATGGTGCTAACTTGTCAGACTGCCTACAGGATCTTTTTTTCGTGTTTATTGCATTATAATGCGTTAGGCATATCGTAATGCCTTGTAATGTGTTAGCTTTTCTATTGTGTTATAACGCGACAAATTTAGAAAAAACATGTCTTTAACGCATTAGCGTAACGCGTTACTTGTCAAAAATTGAAATTATAATGTTATAATGCATTTTTATCAACGACTTTCTCATATTTTTATAATATTACAACGTTATAAATTCGACTAACGTGTTAATAGTTACAAGGCGTTACTAAATTCCTGTCGCATTATAACGCATTGCAACGCGTTATGCATGCTTTAACTCATTGTAAGGTTATAGAAATTCTTCACACGTTTCAATGACATAAATTTATTGCATTACAATGCATTAACTGTTCAGGCGCTGTAACGCTATATATGACAGTGGTAATAAGTGTACTGTGGGAGTTTATGTCCTAAGTCTGAAGTCAGTAAATGCTGACTTCAGCTGACTAAATGCTTCAAATGAAAAGAATAATGCATTGTAATCTATTAGATATTAACTCGTTACAATACAATATGCATTATCTAATGAGTTATAACGTTATAAAAGATTTTTTCAAATTTATGGCATTATGGTTAGATAAAACATCTTAGGTATTACAACGCATTAATTTCTAACGCATTATATTGAAGTAGAAAGCTCAAACGCGTTATAATACATTAGAATCTAACCTATTATAAGGCGGTAGACAAATCTAATTGCGTTGTAACGAGATAAAAAATTGAAACGCATTATCATGCTATAAATTTATAGAGTTGTAATGCAGTGAAAATTTTTATCCACTTACAACGCCATAAATTCCTGAAAAATAAATTTGTAACGCGTTATAACACAACGGACTACGTCTATTGCGTTGTAATGAGATAAATGTATACCGTTGTAATATCATAATTTAAGAAAAAGCATGGTTTATAGCGTTAAAACGCTATAAATAGAGAAAAAAAGATCCTGTGGCTGCGACACACCGAAAATCGAAAAATATTTGCTTTGATTAGAAAACAGATTCCAGAAGAATTTTGAAAACATCAGAAGATTCATCGGAAAATTCTACATCTCATATATTTTTTAGAATTTTACAGTTAAGTCTAGGAAAAGTTTTCTGTGCAATAAACTGATAAGTCTACAACAATCTAACTTTTGAATCTATTTTTCACAGGCTTTAGTTTTTCGGCTATGAAAACAGTAAGACGTTCGGAACCGAGGGTTTTAGTCTTATTATCTTACACAGAATTAAATTCTGCATTATTTGATATATAAATAAAGTTTCTTAATTGAAACCATTAATTCAGAAAATTAATTTAATTTGTGAAAATTGAAAAGCCGGTTGAGAAATAATTATAAGTTCAGTTGACGTAGCGAAAATATTGTATGAAATTGTAAATGAGTGAGCTCTATAGAGCACAAACTTCTCTAGCGTTCTACCTAGAAAAATTAACTATTGAACCTCAGACAAAGGGCTAAAAATTTCAGAAAAGGAGACGAAAAAAGCACGTCGCAGTGCGACAACTCAGCACTATTTAATATTTTGAATGGTACTCAAACAAGAAAAATGCTATCAGAGATTGAAATAGTAGGTTTTGTAGAGAATTCAATTCTCTATCGAATGAGCATAAAACGAAGTTCTGGAAGTGTATCTGAGTAGTTCAAAACAAAAAAATGATCTTGTTCCATTTAATTTGAGCTACCCGTTATTATCCATTTCGGCTGATGCAACCTTCTTGGATAGATTTCTGAAAAGTCGATGTGTGAAGATCCACTCTAAATTTTATGATAAACGAATTCTGATTCTTTCGTCGTACAGTTCATCGAGTTATCTTTAGAACAAATTTTTAGAACCAAATTTTTTAGACCAAGTTTTAAAAAAAATGATTATCTAATTTCCTGTAGAAGCATAACTCACAGCTTTTTATACCGCCAATGTAGGAAATCAAATTATAATTTTTTTGTAATTTATTGAAAACTTGGTCGGGGTAGTTCTTAAAAATTTGTTCTGCAGATAACTCGATGGGTTCTACGAAGCAGACGAATCAGAATTCGTTCATCATGAAATTTAGAGTGGGTCTCCACACATCGACTTTTCAGAAATCTATCCAAGAAGGTTGCATCAGCTGAAATGGATAATATATTTGTGGTTAGTATTAAAATCGACCTATAATCAAGTATATTTCAAGAAAAAATCAAGTGAATGTTCGAGAATGTTCTGTCGTAAATCAAGAAGCGAATAATAATTTGAAAGAATGACGATTGTATGTTTAGGTTTATTTGGTACAAATTCTAACTTAGATCCTATAACGGGTCATTTGAAGTTGATGCACGATTGTTTAAAATGTAGTAATAATGACAGTATAACGAAAATGAATAGTGATGGTAGACAACGTCAAACAACAAAAAGAGCAAGAGGAAAACAAAAAAATGATATTAAAGGAGAAGAAAGTCCGGCAGAAGATTCAACAGTAGTAGCGATTAATTCTCAATCAGATATATTAGATGTGCAATCAACGATCACAAATACTGATGGACATGTTAAACAGACAGAAACGGAAATTGTTGAAATAAAATAACAAATTCATTTTTCTGTGTTTTTTTAGTTGTTGATCTTTTCTTGCAGATGTATTTTCACTGTTTGTTAAATTTCAATCAGTATATAAAATAATGTCTTCTCATTCTATGTGTATAAAGACAAATCAGAGAGAATTCAATTCGATTTTTAACCGTAGAGAAAGACAAGGTATAATGTTTCATTCACTACCCGATATGACATATCATGTTGTGTCAATTATCAACATACATACATGTTTCTTGTAGAAAGTCATTATTATTATTTCTCTTACAATCTACATGTTGTCTCATGATGATTCCTTCTTTTATTTTATTTTTTTTCTCTTTGTTCATCAATCATCTATGACAACACTCAAATCATTGATATACCGACTAGAGAAAAGAAATTCAATTTAAACAATTTTGACAACTTCATCAACGATATGACAATCAAATCTACCTGCACGATGCGTAGAAACTAAAATTTCGTTCTTAATTTTTTTTCTTTTGCACAATTCTTTGTCTCGTTCTCTCTCATTCTTTTTCTCTCTTGAGAGAGAGAGAAAAAGAAAATATGTTACAAATGTCATTAGGAGTAAATGAAGAGTAACAAAAAAATTGATGAGGTGTACAGTGTGTGGATGTGTGATTATTTTAATTTTTAACAAACATATTTCAAATCGAAAAAAATGTCTCTAATGATAACGTCTTTGTCTCTCATAAGATGTTGATGTTAACAGAAAAATCACTGCTATTCGTATAATTATGTCTTTCAGAAAAAAAGAAGTCATAGAACTAGTGCTAAATCGTTTCTTAAGAACGTATTATGACATTCTTTTTTTTCTTTTTTCAGTTTAAATCTGTCACAATGTATTGCAAACAAATCAATGTCTCTTTCAGATCCGATTCTCGATTCTAACTCGTGTGAACACATACACATATCTATTTTAGTGCGATTAAATGTACTTCCTTGTTCTAGCCGTAGTTAGTAGAACTGAGAAATAATCTTCTATAAGAATGTATTGTGAGAATTTTGTTTTAGTTTGTCCATCATAATCATTCCTATGCATATAATAAAATATATAATTTTTTGATATAGCATTTTTATTTATTTTTTATTTTTTTCTTGTAAGATTGATTAGTCCAATCAGAAAAACATACAAAATATAGATTAGGAACTAAGTTCAGACAAAAAACAAATAGAAACAGAAATATTGGAATGAACATGTGTGTATATACTGCTGCTTATGAGACGAAATATTATCACTTTTGATAAATTCAAATTATTATTGTTACCACTGATATAATGTGTTTAGAGATGATGATCCAGTCGTTTGATGTTGTTGTTGTTGCTGCTGCTGCTGCTGCTGTTGTTGTTGTTGGTTAAGAGGATATACATTTAAATGTTTATTTGAGTGTGCGGCTAATAATTCTAAAATTGTTAATTTACGAACAAGATGATCTGAGAATAAAATTTGTTGAAATGTTGGCTGTTTTATTAATGGTATAGGTGATATTTGATGTTTTGTTGTTGATTCAACACTTCGCATAGATGTTGGTGACGGTGAAGATGATGATGGAGAAATCGATTGATCTGCAAGTAAATCATCGATAAGAAATGAATTTTTTGTTGTACATGGAAGTGGTATTTGTTCATCACATCCCATAGGTGAATAAGTAGTATTAGCAGCAATTTTTTTCAAGTTTTTGGTTTCTTGGCGATTGTTTGATAATTTTTTCTTTGTATTACGAACAGTATGTTCGTCTTTCAATTTATTGCTATTAAACATTGCTTTAAAACGTTTTCTTCGTCGTAAATAACTACCATTCTCAAACATATCGCCACATCTTAAAAATACAACAAGATGAGAATAATTAGTCTAGTTGCGAGAGATAGATGACCACTCTCTTCGATTGCTTTTTTTCTTTCAAACAGTTATTCGAACGCATGGTAAATAATAGTTTTAACCTTTATTTTTATTTTTTGAAAACTTTTTCTCTATCTCAAAAAAATCTTGAAATTTTTCATTCGATTCGTTTGTTATGTTTTTTTCGACAAGTAACGTTCTACTCAAAGGAACAAGATAGTTTCTATTTGTTATTATAATTTTTTTTACTCATTAAATCTACTGTTGCTGAACGAAGAAAATAATACAATAGTGTGTAGTCGACTATACACTACCCATACTAGATGACAAAGTTTAATGATTTTTAAAACCTGTGTGTTATAAATTTTTCTAGCGTTAATTGATTATAATATTGATGATACAAAAAATTTTTGCTTTTTAATGTTTAACCGAAATCTTTTGATCTATTTGTTGAAGCAAATGGTAAATGATAGACATTACAATCAATAGAGAAGATTTATTTCACTAAATTAGAATAATACTCATGCTAATTTTAACAACATATGTCCTTCTATGTGTATGTATGATGGCGGTCCTTTCTTTTCTTTTTTTTTCTTCTTCTTCTCATTTATTCATTGTATAGAAGAAACGAATGAAGACATTAAAAATAACAACAACAAAATTTAAAACAATTCATTCAATGATAATTAACTAACATTTAGAATCGAGAGATGTTAATTAGGCGAAGAAATACTATTTCTGTTTATTATTATTATTTTTTTTTATGAAAAAATTATTAATCGTCAATTCTAACAAATCTAACAATAGTTAATATCTTCTATGTTTAAATTAATTTGTTATTCTAAAAAATAGTTGAATAAAAACGAAAAAACATTCTATCAACATATCATTGTAGTTTTAAAATGTGACTATTTGTGTAAAACAGTTTCATTTTCACTTTGAAAACACACAAAAAAAAAGGAAGGCGTTATAGAATCAACATCTTCTCTTATCTTTGCTTCATTGCCTTACTCTAATAATTCTAATTTGAACATAAAACAAAAATCAATTGGCAGATTAAAAAATAATAACTATATACAAATACACATACACACACACATATGTATGTATATATATATATAGATATATATATATATATGTACACGTGTGTAGTGAGGGAAGGAATTAAATTCTTTTCATGTAAAATTATTTCATTGTTCAATAAACTATTTTTTGTTTTTTTGAAATTCATGCTGTTCAGTGAGTTCTCATCTGTATAAATAGTTATTTTATAAGAAGAAGAAATAACCTTTTGAACATACACAAACGAGTCAATGATCAAAGAATATTGAAGTGAGAAGTGTTTATTATTAAAAAAAAAAAAATACAAAAACATATATACTTGACATCAAATTGAAATGAAAACAAACGTTTGAAGGCGTTTTTATTATTTATATTGCTCTCACCTCTTAAACACTATTTATTCTTTTTAGCAAGTACTCATTATTTTATTAGAAAAGAATTTTAGTAAGCGAATTATTTAAAAGGTGTTATTAAAGAGATGTCAACCACAATATTATCATCATTGATAACAATGTATCAATTTCAATTAGATAATATAAGAAATGTAGATGATAAGATATAAATTTTCTTTATAAAGACAAAAACACCATGTCTTAGACAAATATTCTATTATCATTGACTAGTTTTTCACACAATTATCTTCTGTACAACATACAATTTCATCATTATCAACCATTTTTCTTATTACTATAGAATTCTGATATTCTTTTTATTTTTTATTTTAACTTACTTTGGATGTAGACCCCAATAATTGCCTTTTCCAGGTCGATCCATTTTTCTTGGTATTTTAATGAAACAATCGTTAAACGATAAATTATGTCTTAAGGAATTTTGCCATTTTTGTGTATTTTGACGATAATATGGAAAACGATCGATAATAAATTTATAAATGTCATTTAATGGTAACATTTTATCTGGTGAATTTTGTATAGCCATTGCTGTTAAAGCTATATAAGAATATGGCGGTTTTTCATCGGAATAAGTCGACTTGCCTGGACGAGGCATTTTTGAAACAATAATTAAAAAATCTACAAATAAGTTTATTGACACACATAAAAATCAACACCTAACAAATTCTTCTTTCTTGACATATATATATATAATATTAAAGAAAAAAGAGAACGAAATAGAAAGAAAAAAATACATACATTATTCACTATTGGTTCTATATATGCATTTTTAACCAATCATAATGAAATATGTTAAATGATCATATTATTCGGAAATAATTTTTTAATAGATTAGTAAATTACGAGATTTTAAAATTACTACTTCTTCTATATCGAAAAGTCTAAAAATAGAAACTTGAAATTGACTAAAAAATTATTTCATTTCTTTCAGATTTTTACTACAGCAAATAAAAATGATATGAATTTGTATGTGTAAAAACAAGATGTTTCATTTGATCTACTCATCATCACTATTTAAACTCTAATAAAATAGTTGTGAATATGTAAGTAATATTGTAGACTTAAATGATGACGATTACACATTAAATTCTCTATCTTAATAGTTAGCTGTTCTCTACTAGAGTCATACTCGATAATTCTCTGTTATGATGAGAGAAAAATAACATCAGATTTTTTTCTGATCTATGCCTGGGCTCAGTGGCGGATCCAGCCCGCGAGCGATACGAGCGGTCGCTCGTACCTTTTAACCAACAAACTGTTTTTTCCCAGCAGAACTCTCTTAAAATAATTTGTTTCTAGGACGACGGCACGTATCTCGCACTTTTATCGTATACCGCACGTACCAAAGAATAATTGTGGATCCGCCACTGCCTAGGCTCCGCTTTTCAAGGAGAAAATTGGGAGGGCAAAACTTTTTCGGATTTTTCTTGAACAACTTGATGGAGCATTCAAATACGATCCCTTCACTGTATCCAATAGGTTAAAGAGGAAAACAAAAATAAAGATAATTTTCAATGAATAGTCAACGTATTACCGATAGACAAATAAAGTTCATGCAGAGTCAGGGAAAAGTGCTTTTTCGTATTCAATACACTCGATAACTCCGAAGATTTTCTATTTTTGACGAGAGGGCATCTCAGAAAGTTCAAAAATTAATATTATTTTCTTGTGGAAACTTTTTTCCACCATTTTATTCAAAAATTTTTTCTAAACTCTTGACCGTACCGCCCGCCAAAAATAGAAAATCTTCGGAATTATCGAGTATGGTGAATACAAAAAGGTACTTTTCCTCGACTCTCCATGAACTTTATTTTTTTCTTCATGTTGAGATGTGATTATAGTCTCGTGAGTTTTTAGTAGATTATTTATCTAATTAAAAAGTAATGAATCATCACCATTTCTATATTTTTGTATTTTGAATAGATACGGAAGCCAAAATACTGGATAAATTTAGATTTTGAGCGTTAACGATCAGATTTGATTATGATGCATTCTTGAAAACAATCACATCAAGCGTTAATAGTAGCCATTGGCCACTGTATACTTGCAGAAACGTAAATGTAGACACTCTGTGATTATTAGCTGTTTCTATATAAAAAAAACAGAGTGAAATATAATATTTTAAAACTAATTTAAAAATTATCCCTAAAACTTGAATCTTTTCAGTCATAACTATGTTGAAATGAATTTATGTTTGATCTAAAAATCTAAATAAAAATAAAATGGGCTCTTTTTCACTTTACCGATTGTCGATCAATTTCTTTCGTATTAAATAGTGACCTAAATTTATGATCTTATTGAACTTATGTTACTTTATTTACTAGCAAAAGATGGTGAATAGCTAGTCTCTTTACATAAGTCAACATATGGAGGAGAATAATAAAAAAAAAAAAAAAAGAAGTTTTTTCCCTAACCACCTCCACTTCATCTCTCTTTCTCTCGCTCCTATAACAACTCATCAATAACTAATTTTTATCGATGGGTGTATGTGTGTTTATATTATAACAAAGCTCTCTCTTTGCTCTTTCAATACCTTGTAGTTGAATAGAAGAAATAAAAAACAATTTTCATTCAATTTTCACCTGATGCGCGCGGGGCCCAAACAAAATGTATATTCAATGAATTGGTTTTTTGTGGTGATGTTAATATTATGGACAATTCAATTTACATGTCCCTTGAGTTCTATTTCATTTGTTTTTATTAGGTTCAGGTTGAATGCTACCATACAAAAAAAAAAAAAAAAAAAAAAAAAAAAAAAAAAAGTCGTTGGTAAATAAAAAATTCCTAGTTCAAAAAAAAGTTTTTTTTTTTTGGTTTTTAAAAAGAGAATCAAATTAAATATGAGTACAACAAACGTTTTGGTAATAAAAATAGGCACAGCTCACTCACTAAGATCATGTATACTTGTATAGTTAAATAAAGAAAAAAAAGAATTTTTTTTCTATTTCTTCCGCATCAATAACTTTTTCAAAACATTATTATTACATTTTTAAAATAAACAAAAACTGCTGTGAATACCAAAAGATTGTTATCAATATAAAATTTATAATTGATCACATGTCTCAACAAAAAAGAAAGAACATATAAATTAGAGTCGCTAGGTGACGGTAATAATACGATAATATTTTAGAATAATTATTCCAGTCGCATATATATTGCAGAATTTCGTAATTTAGGAAACTTTCATCAATTGTTACTAAGCATATTTGAAGAATTTTTTTTTCTCTTTTATGTACTGTTGTTGTTGTTGTTGTTGTTTGTTTCATTTTCTTCAGTTTTTTTTTGATAAAAGTTGATAATATTCATATTTATGCAGCAGTTGTATAAACGGTACATCTTTTTATGCCATGCTCAATAAACTCAATGTATTATGTTTCCCATATGCAAGATTTTTATGATTTAGAAGATCTCTAGTGTAAAACTTACTCAAATCTGGCTAAGATCGAGAAAGGCAAGATATCACTGAGATAATTTAAATACTAGGACGAGTATTTGAAAAAAAAATTTCTTAAAATCAACATTTACATTATTTTTCGTCGACCAAATGAAAAATGCTGTTTAAAAGAATCAAAAAGTGAGAACTGTTTATGTCAAAATTTTTGAAATTGCACCAGTTTCAATCTATCGCCGACATTTGATAAATATTATCTTGAACTAGTGGCGAAAGACGACTTGTTTATTTCGTACCGAACAGTTATGACATTCCGATGAATATACCATGAACTTTTTATCAGCTTTTTGTTTGAATTTTAACTAAAATTCACATGGCAGATATTTTCTGTACTGAAAGCATTTAAATAAAATCGATAATCCCGTTTGAAACGTCTTGGTTCGATCTTTATATACGTTATTCTTTTTTTGTAAAAATTCAATAGATCAATCTTGTTTGCTCATTTAAAATACTTTTTGCTAGTTTCTACGTACCATCCCAGGTGATTGAATCGACCATAGAGGGTAATATAAAGCAAAGATCGAAATAACATCGCGTAAAAGCACCGTAAAATCATGTAAAGCCATCCTTCAGATGGTGTACATACACCTCTAGTTACAACTGGTTTTTGAGTATAAACTGAAATTCCCTTTTCTTTGTAAGATGGAAGGAGTTTCACAAAAAATAACAATCGGACTGTAGGTAGCAGGATATTAAAGGCAATAAGTATCCATTCCACCTACACAGATCAAACGTCCATATAAGCAAATAACTCGAATCAATTGTGCAGAAACAGTAAAAAAATAAGTTTTTTTCGAGATCAAAGTCTTCCCATGTCGACGAAATCGCGGCATTTTTAACAGTTAATTGTGATTCTTGAAAAATCGCAAATTAATTGCGATTAATTGTTGATTTTAAGCGATCAAATGATTATTGTTATTCACTGCTTTATTTTGCAGTAAAGTATGTATATAAGAAACACAATTTCAACGAGAAATACACTTTTATTCAGATTAGAGTAAAACGGAGTTGTCAAGAGTCTTCTATATGGTGCCTCAGACCTTTAAAAAGGAGCCCAGTGAACAGTCGGTATCTAGGAAATATGTAAAATCGACTCATTAGAAAGGCTCCGACTTCAGCTGGTATTAAGATTGCTGGGTGATGTACATGTCATTATACATAATAAACTATGAAAAAACAGAAAAAAGTATGTATTTCCCAAGATGGGTTCGAACCTAGTATCCAGAAACAAATAGTCAATTGACCGCGATTAAGGGTACCCGTTCCCTTATTTTGGGCTTTCCGTCGAAATGCTGTGAAATAAAAAATAAAAGTCACTAAGGCTTCATATGTCAGAACTAATTGGAAACTCAGAGTATTTTTTTCGTTTTTGCCTCAAGTTTTCAACTATTGTCGTTCACCAGTTTTCATTGTGCCACATTACGACCCCCTTAAATTTCATCCGACCGAGTTAAAAATTTTACCTGACATATTCAAGGTCATATTGCAGAGGTATAATTTTGAAATTTTCTTTTAGACCTTTCTTTACCGAGTTATACGGTTTCTTTTATTGAAAACGTCGGGGGTCGTTTAATTTAAGGGGGTCGTAATGTGGCACAATGTAGCCTGATAGCAACAAAATACTTTTCGAGAAAAAACGCATTTTGTACACAGATCACTCTTTTTCAGAGCATTTGCCGCGATGCTTATATCTCCGCGAAAACTCATCAAAAATTCTGAAAAACGTCTCATTGTGAAGAAAACACTTTCTTCTATCAGACTATGTATAAGAAAAATTTTTAATGTACAGAAATGAGATAAAAGTTTATGAAATTAAAAAATTGAGCTTTTAGGCTTTGAAGAAAAAACTTCAAAAACGCATAACTTTTTGAAAAAAGATCGTGGAGCACTGGGAGTAGTCTCATTTTGTAGCCCACACTTTCCTCTACGTTAGGCTATGCTCAGCTCAAAATCCGAAATTTTTACAAAAAAGAGGGGTGGGTCTTAATCGCTAAAATCACCAAAAATTCGGCAATTAATCTCGATTAATTAAGCGCACGGTTAATCGTATGATTTTTCACAATTAATTGCCGATTTTTAGTATATGAGTTAGAACAAACTAAAGAAGACTGATTTTCCCGCTGTCTGAAGATCAAATTTATTTC